ACTACCAGCACCAGAGGCAGCAGATGCTGTGCATGGAGAGGTGAGCCCCACCCCAGCCCGCCACCACCCCCAGTGCAGGCCACTGGCACCTGGTGGGAGGGGGAGGACCCAGCGATCCCGCCCCCACCCAGGCGTAAAGAGCCGCCCCAGGAGTTGGACTCGGCCTCCTCGGAGGAGGAGAACGAAGACGGCGACTTCACCGTGTACGAGTGTCCAGGCCTGGCCCCTGTGAGTGTCCCATCAGCAGGGGGCTCCCCACGGCAGCCCGCTCCTCCCGCGGCCCGCTCTGACACTACCGGGCCCTGGTCCTCCTAGACGGGGGAGATGGAGGTGCGCAACCCGCTGTTCGACCACGCCTCGCTGTCCCTGCCCCAGCCGGGCACGTGCTCGCCACCGCCACCTTCACCGCAGTGACCCCAAGGTCGTCGTGGCCACCTGCCTGCTCACCTGACCAGCAGCTCACGAAGGGGAGAGTTAGGGCCTGATGTTTCCCATTAAAAATGACATGTTCTGACACCCGTGTGCTTGTGGCTGGGGGGGTGAGGCGGTGCCCCGTGCATTACCTGTCAGGCCTGAACCCCAAACAGGAGGGGCGTGGGGTGACTTTTGGAGACAAAAGCTGCCTCAAGTCCATTTCTGGGCCTGTGGGAGGTGTGGTTGGACCCAGCCCCAGCTGTCTAGGACCTCCGTGGATAGACCCTGTTTGAGGCTGGGGGGTGCAGTCCACACCCTGGGAGTGGGCACCCAGTGCCTGCTTACCTCCTGTCCTTTGGGGGTGGGGGACAACAGAATACATCATTGAGTGTGGGTTCCTTCTGGGGACTCCACAGCCCCAAGCCCCTGCAGCACTGTGGGGACACAGCAGGCGTGGGTCTGAGGGGCTCAGGTCTGCAGGCTGCGTGGGCCTGACCAAGGCATGGCATGGTAGTAAGGCCTCTGCTTGGGGCTGGGGCAGCCTTCATTGCCCGCAGAGGGCCAGAGAGGCCCCCAGGGGCACTGTGGGGTCAGGTAGGAGTGCAGGCAGGTCTCTGGCCAGGGACGGGAGAATTGGGTTCAGAAGACTAGTTGCTGCGTCTTGGCAGCCCCGAGGAGGAGGGGCAGCTGGCGAGGGTGGGAGCCCACACCTATGTCCCCCAGACCCCACTGCTGGCACACCACCTTGGCTGGCCCTCTGCTGAGAGCTTCGGTCTCCCCGTGGACACCGTGTGGGAGGTGGGCCAGAGCAGGTGCTGAGCGCCACGCAGGCAGGTGCCTGCCTCCTGCCACTAGAGGGCTACCGAGAAGGTGGGGCAGCCGGCCTCAGCCTCACTTGGGCCAAGGGTGCCTGGCCCTCAGCTGTCAGCCCAGGACACTGTGCCTCACCAAGGGGCTGTGCAGACCCGGGGCCAGGAGCCCCTGGCACTCGTCCGTCCACCAGGGGCTGAGAGCAGTCACCTGGTGTGTCCCGTTTTGACTTGTGCCTGGGGTCCACGCTGCCCATGCTCGGACAGCCCGGTTTCATTTGAAGCCCTGACACCTGCCGTCGTTGGCCACCTTCCTCCCATAGGCCGTCACGTGCGGAATCTGCAGGGGCTCGGCCGGGGCTCCTGCCCTGCTCCCCCTGCCGTCCCTGCCCTGGCCTGGCTGCCAGCAGCCCCACTCTGGCGAGAGCCAGCACAATGTTAGTAGGCCCAGGTGACGCCTTCAGTGGCAGGGGGTGCCCACCCCTGCCTGCCGGAGGGCTGGACCGTGGCTCAGATTCCCAGTCCCCGTGTGGTGCGGTGGTGAGGACGCGGCCTTGACATTGACTAGAAAGGACGACACTGCAGGGTGTCGTGTGCAGGCCCCTGAGGACAGGCCCCCCGGCCCTAGAGCCCAGCTCTACCTGGGGGAGGATGAGGGCCAGCTACCTACCCTGGGCTTGAGGGGAGACGGGGGAAAGGCGGGCTGGAGCCTCACCATGCCCTACTGGCCTAGAGGCACCTGGGGCTCATGGCCACCCAGCTCCTGGTACTGTCCTTACGCTGGGCCATGTCCCCACCTGGAGGCTATGCCGTGGTGCAGGGTTAGGGAGGGGCTACACTGCCACCCTCCTCTGGACTTGCCTCTGTCCCCGCTGCCAGCTCCTCAGTGCCTGACCCTGGCCCCCTGCCAGTGTCCAAAGCACCCACTGTCTTAACAGTTAAGCCCAGAAAGTTCCCCCAGGGAGGTGGCCACAGGGCTGATGGCCACACCACAACAGCCCCACCCTCTCACTGAGGATAAAGTGTGCCCTGTCCCTCCTAGCCAGAGCCAGGCGGTTTTGCAGCATGGCCGCCAGGGGGCCCTCGGGCATAGTCGACGCAACCCTGCACAGGCCCGCTGGGGCTGTGGGCATGCAGGCAGCTCCCCGAAGCGCACCCAGGGCTGCGGCTGGGTGCCCCCCTCTTGCAGCCCTGCTGCCATCTGCAGGGGTGGCTGTCGGGACGCTGACCCGCACTTGGTCTGGAAGGGCCCCACATGGTTGAGACCCTTTGCTGGGGTCCACAGAGGTCAGAGCTGGCCCTGGAATCGGTAGGAGGGCTGCCCTGGGGGCCCTGCCTGTCCTTAACCCTGCAAGTGCTGAGCCGAGGGGCACCTGCAGGTCTACAGCCCAGCCGGTCAGGAAGCCTGGATGGTGGCAAGACAACAGCACGCCCCCCCCCGCTTTCCCTTTGACTCACACTCTCACCCCTCTTCTCTCCTGAGAGCCTTTCGTTATGACCCATTTCTGGGCCCAGATAACAGGGCCACGCCTACCTCCCACCTGCCCCCCCCACCCGTGTGTACACACCCAGGGCAGAGTGTGAGGGTGGCACCTCGAACCCACCCTAGAGGGAACAGGCCACGGTGGGGTGGCGGGCAGGGGCCCCAGCTAGCCTGGCAGCAGGGACAGGAAGGACAGCGGGCGCTGGCAGCCAAAGCCAGGTCTCCACAGGGTGGCTCCTTCCTGCCTGCTTCTACCGCCCCTCACCCTCCGCAGGGAGGCCAGCTGGAGCCAGGGAGCTGTCCTGGGCACCTTTTTCAGGGGCAGGAGTCAGGCCCAGGTACACCACGATCACCTCCCCAAACACTGAGGTGGCTGGGTGTCTGGAGCCCCGGCCGATGTCCCGCAGCCTCCCTCCCCTCTTCAGCTGTTGCACAAGCCTTAGCCCGGCTGGGAGGCTGAGCCAGGCGTGGGGGTGGGGCGCCTGAGGCCGCTGGCCCCTCCTGATCACGCCTGGCCCCACTGTGCTCCACAGCCAGCCACCCGTCCTCATCCCAGCGGGAGACCAGGTGCCCAGGCCGAGAGGAGCAGGGCAGGGCTGTGCAGGTGGGCAAGCAGCCTCGGGGCGCTGGGCAGACCGGCCCGCGGCTCCCACTCGCCGTGCCTCCCTGACACCATGGTCGAGGGGCCTGACCGGCTTGAGGCCCATGCGGCAAGGGCACGTGCGCCATGTCTAGGACCAGACGAGGTCTGGCTGGGAAGGGGCTGGAGGCGTACTGCCTCGGCGGGGCCTCAGGTGAGCCCGAGGCCACTGTGGCCGGTTCACACAGGCTGCTGGGCAGAGGACTGGGTAAAGGGGAGGAACTCCACCTCAGGGCTGTAGCCCCGTCGCCAGGGCTGGCTGGAGGGTGGGCGGCCAGGCCTCCGGCTGCACCACTTCTCCTCTCTGGAGTGGACGCTGGCCTGGCCCGTCCATGTGAGTGATGTCGCGGCGCCTTCCTTTTCCAGCCTGGAAAGCCCCTCTTGCCGCCAACCGGGGGGGAGACCATGGCCCTTCCCAGCCTGTCCAGGGCCCTGGGCCGACCGAAGCCAAAGCCTTTTAGGAACGTGTGTCCCTGTGGGCCGGAAAGGACAGCAGCCCCCGGCCGCCTTGGGCAGGCCCCACCCGGTGTCTGCCCTCTGGGCGTGGCTGGCACCTCTGTGGACAGGCCCTCCCAGGACCTCTCCGGGGGTCTTCGGCTGGGAACCAGGTTCCTAGAGGCCAGGGCGAGTGGGTGGGCCCACGGGAGACCTCCCTCGGCCCCCTGCAGAGCTGAGCACACACATCTGTGAGGCACAGAGGTCTCCTGGGAGCCCGCAGGCGGCTGAGCAGGCGGTGGGCCGGGGAAGTGGGCGACACGTGGCAGGAGGGGCTGCGTGGCCTAGGGAAGTGTGTCAGCTCTTCAGGCCTGGGGGGCTGGTAGGCCGCCCCTACTCTGGCGCCCTCACCGCAGCCACGGTCTCCCTCCCGTCCTCACCCTCTGCGTGGCCAGCTGGTCATCTCGGTCTCTCCAGAGTCCAGAGGGCAGGCTAGGGCCTGGCTTGCCCTTCCTGCAGCTGCCCCCCCCTCCCAGTAGTGGGGGGCGGGTGCTGCAGGTCACGAGGCAGGGGCGGGGCAGGAGCAGGAAGGCCTGGCTCCTCACCTAGGGCAGATGAAAGCACGCCTGTGCTGTGATTTCAGGGTGCCTTGGCTGTGGTAGCTGTGATTTGAGTCCTTGGCATTCTGGGGGCCCCTGCCTGAGAGGCTGTGGATGAAGAACCCTGGTGAGCTGGGTCCTCAGGGAAGCCGGGCTGGGGAGGGCAGGGGTGGTTGGGGGAGGGTGGAGTGGGGAAGAGCAGGGCCTGGGTGTCCTCGCTCCCAGGTGACAGGCCCTTCCTCTGGCACCCTCTGCAGGGCACGGCCCCACCCGAAGGCTCCGGGCCTGGGTGGGTGCAGCGGGGGCAATCCTGCTCATGGCTCTCTGGCTGCTATGGCTGCTGGGGTCGGCCCCTGGGGGTGTCCCGGTGCCTCAGCCCAAGATCACTGTCCTTGTCTGGCACTGGCCTTTCACTGACCGGTCCCCGGAGCTGCCTGGTGACACCTGCACCCGCTACGGCATGCCCTACTGCCCGCTGAC